ACTCTCTCCTCTCTGATGAGCACATGTGTCCTATAGCAAAAACTTAAAAAAAAAAAAGAAAGAAAAATAAAATAATACCCAAGCTGCTGACTTATTCAAATATGGTTTGGGTACTGATCTGCATTCTATTAGTTATGTTCTCAATTATTCAACTTTCATAAAAGTTTCGAATTATCTTCAGAAAGATTTAGCTGAGTGACATCACTACCATAATTCAGAAATATTTAAATCTTTTCAGTGATTAAAAAAGAAAAGTTAAACATGTACAGTACCAGTACCTTATCTCAGTCATTAGTACTTATGGTAGTATAATAAAGTAAATATTATTTTATGTTCTATTCCAAACACTGAAAGCTATAGGCCTTAACTGGGGTCAAAATTAAAAAGGAGGAAATAAAACACCAAATAAAACATCCCAATTTAGGCACCCTAAAGTCTATCATGACATACTAAACTGCAATTTAAAATTTAGTAACTTTCTTACTTTTAAAAAAGGCAGCAATCTAGTAGTATATTCAAAATATAAGGCAGAGGTCTATGCCCAGGCTTCAGATTAGGAAAAGGACTAAATGTTTTTCATAGGGCAAGTTCATTCTCCAATTCCTTCTAAAGACTAGATTAAAATTCAAATTCTCTGCATTTTTGGTAGCTCCCTTCAGTTACTTTTAAAAGTTCTATTCTCCAAAGTGAATTTTCTGAATAAATAATAAATAATTATAACATTAATACCATTTGGCACATTTACTTTGTAGTGCAGCAAAAAGATTTCTAAACTAATCAATGGAAAGAACCAATTGTGAATTGATGAAATTGGACCTAAATGAGTTCTACTTTTTAATTAATTAATTAACTTTTGAGAGGTTTTTGCTATAGAGTGTGTGCACTCGCTGGAAAGACAGAGAGAAACAGACAGAAAGTGAGAAATCACCCCCCCCCGGGGGGGGCGGGGGATGGCCACGCCACAATCCCTTCTCCTCTATTCTCTCAGGATCCTGGGCACCGCACGCACAAGTGCCCGGCTTGAGTTTAAGCCACTGGGTCCGAACCGCGATCAACTACATGGGAGTCCAGTGACATAGCCATTACACTAACTGCTGGTCCTGAGTTTTACTTTTTATTTTAAAAACATTTTGAATTCAACTATAATACAAGCTAAGAGCAGCTGATTCATAAAACACAAGGCATCTTGCTCTTTTTATTTCTTTATTCTCCCCAGCATCTTCTGGGGTCCTAAATCTTCTATATTTGAAAAAAGTAGCATTCGCCTCATTAGAACATCTCACCTGACTAAACATACTGTTTACTCCTCTCACCAGTTTTATCAATTATTCTAAATAGAACCAGAGGTTTAAAAAAAAATCTCATTTCCTAAAAAGATTGTAAATGATTTTAATTTGCTCCCTACAAACACTATTTGTATACTTTAACACTGGGGAACTCTTTACCAAACACATACATGCAACTTGAACTTCTGATTTTCTTTGCAAGAGTGCTCCCATTCTGTTTCGCACCACACAGCGGTAAAACCCAGCATCGAGCTTCTGTAAAGATGGAATAATATACCTGCCAAATACCAAAAACAAAAAGTGTTACTTATTATATCTTGAACAGCACTGGCATTTCATCTTGCAGGTGCTTAACAAATATTTTATTTTTAATAATCTAATATCAATTCAATCCTTCCCTGACCAAGACACTAACTAAAACTGTGGTTTATTTGTGAGATTATATCATCAATATCTGTCTGTCTAACTAGGCTATAAATGTTACATGAAGCCAGATCTGCTTGTTTTATTCATCACTGTATTCCTGGTGTCTAGCACAGTGCCATCTGGGCACACAATAAATAGTACTCATTACTAGTTGAATGACTGAGAAAGATTAAATAATTAAAAGTCTTTACATTTAAACTAGATCTTTTACACTCTAGCAGATAGCATAGCGGTTAAGGTGACGGACTCCTCAATGGCCAAAAATAATTCGAGTCCTAGGCCTGGTGGCTTGAAAATCATGCCAGGTATGTGTGCTCAAAATCCCCAAAGAAGAATGGAAGAGAAGGGATTGCAGCATGGCTGTGACACCTGGGGGGTTATTTCTCACTTTCCCTCTCACTGCCTGCCTCTGTGTCTCTGCAGTAAGCACATATGCCCAGTAGCAAAAACTTAAAAAAAAAAAAAAAATCTCTCAGTCAAAAAAAATGTTTTTTTTGAGAGGTGTTTGCTATAAGGCATGTGCACTCGCCAGGAAGACTGAAAGAGACAGAGAAACAGAAAGCAAGAAGTCACCTGTCAGGGAGGATGGCCATGTCACAATTCCTTCTCTTCCATTCTCCTCTCAGGATCTTGGGCACACATGCACACATGCCTGGCATGAGTTTAAGCCACCGGGTCCAGGATTTGAACTGTGGCTGCCTACATGGGAGCCCAGTGACACAGCTGTTATGTCAACTGCTGGTCACCCAAAATTATTATTATTATAAGTATTATTATTAGTATTATTATTTAGTTTAATGTATTTTAATGGCAAACTTACAGGAACAGCACAGAAGACAGACAACATTAAAAACATATACTTGCATGTAGGACAACTCAGTTAGAAAAGTATAGTGAATGGATGGAATCTACTGTATGATAAAAATGCTACAAACACCATTTAGTTGCCATCTCTTTCTAGAACCTCAGAATTTTCAGAAATCATTTCTAGAACTGCAAAAGTCTTAACACAACACATTGTGTCACTCTGTAGGAAAGTTCAAACATGTTCATAATAAGATACAGATGTCACTAATGCAAGGAGAACAATGGCATCAGAACACATTCTTCTCTTCAGTTGTGAACATATCCCAACATAATTTATGCATTTCCTTCTCTTACATCTCCATGTAGAGTTGATGTTAACTTTAAACATTTTTCTCAATAACGGAAAAGTAATTTCATTCGTTTTCCACTCCTATGACTATTGAAATCATCCTTCAAATCTGGTCTTTGTTTTTCTAAAGTGTTCATATATTTTACAGTAAAAAAATAAATAAATTTAAAAATATGGTTTTCAAAAAAATCCCTGTTTTTTATTTACTGCTTGTTTTACAACTTAAGATGACTTAAAAATCCATAGCAATAAGGGTATATAACCAACAATCGCTTGAAGTAAAGTTTGACAGTTCCTGAGCTTACATCTTTTACATCTTTTTTTTTTTTTTTGAGAGAGAGATTTTTGCTATAGGATGTGTGTGACCTCCTCCAAGAAACACACACACACACACACACACACACAGAGAGAGAGAGAGAGAGAGAGAGGAGAGAAATCACCCTGCCAAGAGAATGGTCATACTGCAATCCCTTATCCTCCAATCTCTTGGGATTTGGGGGCACACATACACAAACGCCTGACATGAGTTTTAAGTCTCTGCGTTTGGGACTCAAACTGCAGTCAGCTGTGTGGGAGTCCAATGCCTTAACCACTATTCCACCTGCTAGCTCCTAAGATGATATATTAATTGGTTGCTAGTCCATGTTCACAAATGAGCCATACATCTGATAAAGGGTTAATATCCAAACTTTATAAGGAACTCCTACAAGTCATTAGCAGTAAAACCTAAATTAACCAATCACAAAATGAACAAAAGAGTTAAAAAGATATTCTCCAAAGAAAGAATACAAATGGTCAATAGGCTTATTAAACAGTGCTCAATATTACTAAAATCATTCAGAAAAATGTAAAACAAAGTCACAATAAGAAATTTCTCCTCTTAGGATGCACATTATCAAAAGAATAAACAACAAATGTTGGCAAAAATGGGGAGAAAAAGAAACCCTTGCACATTTTTGGGAGTATAAATTGGTACAACCACTAAGGAAAACAGTATGGAATTTCCTTTAAAAATTTAACTACCATATTATCCATCAATTTTACTTCTGAGTATATATCCAGAGGAAACAAAATTGGAGTCTCTAAGAAATCTATGCACTTCCATGTTCACTATAGCATTATTCACAATAGTCAAGATATGGAAACAATATTAGTGTCTGTCACCAGATGAATGAAAAAATAAAAGGCGTTACAGAAATGCAATGGAATATCATTCGGCCTTAAAATAGAAAAGAATTCTGCTATTTCCAATAACATAGGTGAACCTAGAGGGCACTGTACTACGTTAAAGAAGCCAGACATAGAAGGATAAACACTGCAGGGACCAACAGGTGGCATGACGGTTAAGGGTGCTGGACTCCCACATGGCCAATCATGGTTCAAGTCCCAGACCTGGTGGCTTGCTTTCTCACTTTCCCGCTCTGTCTCTCTCACTCTGTCCCTCCCTGGTCAAATTAAAATAAATAAAATTAAATAAAACAATTTTAAAAAAAGAAGGATAAACACTGCATAATTTTACTTATAAGATGAATCTAAAATAGTAAAACTCATAGAAGCAGGGGGTGGAATGATAGCTTTCAGGAGCTGGGGAGAGGGAAAATATGGCAAAATTTTGGTTATACACAATAAATAAACCCTACAGATCTTCTCTTCCATACAGCATAGTGCATATAGTTAACAATATTGTATATTTTACATTTTAAATATATGGTAGATCTTATGTTAAGTGTCCTATCACACAAAAATAATAAATAAGGAGTATAGGAGAAGGAAATTTTTGGAGGTGATGGACAGGTTTATTCTATAGATTATAGTGGTGGCTTCACAGATGTATGCTTATTTCCAAATGTATCAAGTTATATAAATTAGATACAAACAGCTTTTTGTATGTCATTCATACCACACTAAAAAAAAATCACAAAATTTATATACACTGCAATTGACTAAAATAGATCATGTTTGAATGCCATAAAGAAAGCAAGACTTGAGGCTTGGGTACTTTTCACATATGAGAAGGTATCTAACATAACAACAACAAAAAAAAGCTAAACTCCTTTCAAATCATAGGTTATTTTCTGAAAAAAAAAAAAACATAGTGATGCTATTGTTTATATTAAAAAAAGTATTGGTAATAATTACAATTTTAAAATATTTCATTTTAGAGAGTATAAGAGTATAATCAGAGAAACCTTTAAAAAATTAAGTAAAAGACAAAGCATATGCTTTATTTGCTCAGTTCCTAAGCATACCTTGAATAACTTATACTCACCTAATGGTCATTTTATATTCAAGTATATTAATTAGTTAACCTGTAAAAGGAACTGCTAGGTATAATTTTTAAGTGAATTAAACATTTGGACAATACAGGTAATACAACATTAAACAAATATTAATCAAAGTATGTTTTCCCTCTCTTGAGATCCTATGGCAGGAAAAATAAACTCTTTTTTGTTGTTGTTGTTGAGATATTTTTACTATAGAGTACATGTGTTTGTCAGACAGTGAGACATAGAGAGAAAGAAAACAAGAAATCATCCTCTGGAGGGATGGCCACACCACAAGCCTTTCTCCTGCATTCTCTCACGCAGATGCATCCAGCATGAGTTTCTAGCTGCTGGGTATGGGACTCGAACTAAGATCAACTATATGGGAGTACAGCAACATAACCATTAAGCAATCTGCTGGTCCTGGAAAAATTAACTCTTTATATGAGAAGAAAGAATATTGCTGAATTTTAATTTTAAAAATTGTATTCCATTATGAGAAATGGTTCATCGTAAATTAATTAATAAAGACAATCAGAATAATATTAAATTGGCCTCAAAGGATCAATGTCATCTACTTAAATTATAAATTATTATAGAAAGATGAGCACCTTTGATGATTATATACTGTGATTGTATAAAGAAGAGTTTTGAGATTAGGTTAAAACAAAGTCAACATAAGTTTCTGGAAAAGAAATAGCACAAGTCATTGGAGTACATATTTGAAAAACTACAAGGACAGTTTTATCACTGAAACATAACCATATTTATATAATTGCTACTCATTCCACTTTTTTCTTTTTTGCAATATCTTAAATGTATCTTAAATTCTTTTAAATTTCTGTAGTAATCCTATATACTAATACACAAAAACACCACTGCTTTCAAACACAAGAGAGAAACAGATACAAAATTGAATATTAGGCATATGCTGTTTGGTACCATCTCTTTAGTCTAATGTCTCACCGGGGAAAAAAATACCAAAAGTTGCAAAATCTTCTACCTATTACAGGAATTCCTACACAAATTATGTTCACCTAACAGATGGAAATATTCATTTTAAGTCTATTGTTTATAAACACACATTTTTAAACAGAAAAACTTTCCTGGCTCCTTAAAAGAAAGTATGATAAGATCTTAACACCATATGCCACTAAAACATAGAAAATGCCTGCTACTATTTCAAATCAACACAGCATGAAATGTTCGTATTCACTGTATCAAGGCAGCATTCTACTAAAGAAATGCTTTCCATAGCTAGTTCTTTTTTTTTTTTAAGGAGGTTTTTGCTATAGGGCGCATGCGCTCGCCAGCCAGACAGAGACAGAGACAGAAAGCGAGAAATCACCCCCCAGGGGGGATGGTCACGCCGCAATCCCTTCTCCTCCATTCTCCTCTCAGGATCTTGGGCACGCACGCACACGTGCCCGG